CCCTTAAGAAGGGGATGATTGATTTATTGGTCACTTCAAGTGTAACAGATGCATCGATTGTTTTGTCTCATATAAATAGTGGGTCTCGGCACCACAGCTTCGTCTTTCGACATCCGTCCGTCAGTCAGAGTCTGCCTGGTTGTGTCTATCGCATAACGTTAGGGACAGTCAGTGCATCTTAGGTTGGATTCAAGAACATCAGATTCTATTTCCGTTTACTTTACATTTAGTGTTTTTACTGATAAGTAGTGTAACTAGTAGTATATTTGGTTAATATAATACATCAGGTAGAAATTGTCTACTTATTATATTAAATATCCGAATCAACTGCGAGCATACTGCAAATCAGCAAAACCGATTTCCTCGAGCAACTAGATCCATAACAATATGTTTTTTTTTTCGAACGATGAGGAGTTATTACGTTTTACTTTTTTTTTTGTTTAAATAATTTTTTTTTTTTTTAGGTTATTAAAATCAATAATAATAATAATAATAACCGACATCCTTTTTTTAAGTAATTCAAATTTTACACTGTCAAGGTTGTAACCTTACGTATGGTTTTTCCTTACACGCTTCGATGACACTTTTATTCTTTTTTTTTTTTCGGATTTACAATTTAGATCAATGACACTCCATTTTATACATAAATCACGACAATCATTAAAAAAATCACATTCCGGTATTTAAATATTAATACGTGATTAACTATAATTCGAATCATTATTAAAAGGTCGATAAGGGTTAGATTTGATTTTTTTTCTTTTTTTTTTTTGGATGGGGGATGGGGTGGTGTATCACGACAATAAATCGTTTATCGTTTTTAAACGTTTATTTGTAAATATTTATTCGTCGTGATATGTTTGATAAATAAAAGAAAAAAAAAAAGGGAAAAATTTGTAATTTCTTTAATCTTGTTTTAGAATTTTTGAAAAATGGCTTCCGTCAAATCTCGTAAAGCTACAATGATATCGATATTAAGTTTTCAAACGATATTAATAATACTTTTTGCCATATTTACCGCATATGATAACGATACGAATCCTCTTACACCACCGAGTGGTAAAAATTTTACCGTCGCGGATATACAATATACGGGTAAGTTATAGTTCGATTAATTTTTTGTTTCTAGAATAGTTTTATGGTTTTTATAAAAAATATTTTTCTTATATTTTTAGTTTTCCAAGACGTACACGTAATGATTTTCGTTGGTTTTGGTTTTTTAATGACTTTCCTTCGGAAATATGCCTACAGTGCTTTAGGATTTACATTTTTAATATCCGCATTAGTTATTCAATGGGGTTTGCTTTGTCAGGGATTTTACAAAATGAATTCTACCGATGAATTTGTTTACTTAGGAATTGAAAAGTAAATATAATGGAGATGTTAGGATTTTAATTTTTTCTTTTTAACATTTATAAACAACGCTTTTATTATACTTGTAGTTTGATAGGTGCCGATATGATAGCAGCAGCAGTTTTAATTTCATTGGGAGCCGTCCTGGGTAAAATTTCACCCATACAACTTATCATCATGGCCGTGCTCGAAACTATTTTTTATACTTTTAACGAATATTTGGGAACTTACATTTTAGATGCGAGTATACGATGCAAATAAATATCCCCTTAAAATTACTATTGATAATAATTTTTATAAAATTGTTGTTTAGGCTGTTGATCCGGGTGGATCGATGTTTATTCACGTTTTTGGTTCTTATTTCGGTTTAGCTGTTAGTTTTACCCTTCCGAAAAGCGTAAGCACGCAAGAGGAAAAAAATTATTACGAATCATCCAAGTATCAAAGTGATGTGAATGCCATGATAGGTACGTCATCATTGTATTTAAATATTTACGTATGTATTAAATTGTTTTTTTAAATTTTATTATTATTATTTCAGGTTCTCTTTTTTTATGGATTTTTTGGCCGAGTTTTAATGCCGGATTTCTTTACAATGACGAAAAATATAGAGCGATCATAAACACGTACCTTTCTTTGACAGCATCTTGTTTGGCAGCATTTGCCGTTTCATCGATGATAAACAAAAATGGAAAATTTAACATGGTTGCGTAAAACTTACATTTTTTTAAAAACATTTAAAAAAAAAGAAAATATAAAATTTTCTGTACTTTTATAAATGTTTTTAGGTTCATATTCAAAATGCAACACTGGCGGGAGGTGTTTGCGTAGGAACTTCTGCCAATATGATGATTCAACCTTATGGCGCTCTAGTAATCGGATGTTTTGGCGGAACTTTGTCCACGTTGGGTTTTTGTTTCGTACAAAGTAATTTTTTTTTAATTTAGAGGAAAATTGCATGTTTTATGTATCGTTAATTAAACTCCAAATTTCGCTTTCAGGCAAATTGCGAATACATGACACCTGCGGCGTTCATAATTTACACGGAATGCCTGGAATAGCAGCTGGAATTATTGGAACAATTGTGGCAGCCATAGCCAACTACGAAACTTATGAAACCAGGTTACAAATACGTTTTTAAAAAAATTTTTTTTTTTTTTTTTTTTAAATTTATTAAAACCCATTTTACAATTTTTTTTTACAGTTTATATGAAGTTTTTCCAGCGTTGAGTAAGAGGACAGCACTCCAGCAAGCTGGATATCAATTTTTAGCATTAACCGTCAGCTTTTTAAATGCCGTAATCGGAGGATTGATAACAGGTATCGATAATGTGAATCTTTATGAATTTTTTCGAGGAGAACAGATGTATGAAATTCATTTAACGTTTTGTCAAAGGTGTCTGCATAAGAAACTTTAAAAAAATAGAAAGATATTTCGATGACGAAATGATATGGAATCTTCCTCCGACGGAAAAAATTAAAGTTAATGAAGAATCTTTGTACAGAGTTAAAATATAGGGAGTCTCACACCGTGTGTTCACATTCTCTTCAACATCATCACATCCGACGATTTTTTAAAACAACGGTAAATATCATTTATACGACACCACCCACGTAAAAAAAAAAAAACCAAAAAATTTTCAGGTTAAATGATTACGTTCATCAATTAATAATGTCTTCGTTGTGAAGTCATTTTAACGCTAACTAACCCTCACCAACATACCTTTTATTGTTTATATCAAAACCATAACTATTAGAGACCGTGACGAGCCTCCCTTTTAAATATCTCAATAATAATAATAATAGTAAAATTAAGGTTTGATTAATCGTTTAAAAAAGTTAATTGGAATAATAATAATAATAATAGTAGAAAATTTATTTTAAAAAAAAATTTTATTTAAAAATAAAAAAAAAATATGTTATTTGACATCGAAAAATTGCCCAATACGAAACGAAAAAAAAAAATTTATATATATATTTATTTATGTGTGTCTTCTGCTATTATTATTAATATATAATACTCTTAACACTTTAAATTTGAAAAAAAAATGGTAATCAAAATAAATTTGATTGTCTACTCCCCCCAAAAAAAAAAAAAAAAAAAAAAAAAACATTTTCCGATGAAAACTACTAAATTACGACGTTTACTTAATATACTAATAATAATAATAATAATAATTTATTTTACAGGTAATACATAGCAGGACAATAATAATAAAGCGATTGTGCTCAAATTATTAAAAAAAAAAAATTCAGTCTAAAGCCTTCGTTTATAAAAAACTAAAATAGGCTTAAAATATATTTTAAAAAATTCATTTTTGCAGTCGCAAAACGCACTTTAAAAATATGCATTTTAAATAATAATAATAATAATAATAGTAAGCATTTAAATAAGTTTTAGAAAAAAAGAAAATTAAAAATTGACACAAACAAAAAAAAAAAAAAAAAATTTTTGGCATGAGGTTGTAAATGTGAAGTTCAAAATTTTTATTTATAAAAAAAAAAAAGGTTCAACATTTAGGTTTTAGACTAGAGAAAAATTTTACACACGACGAAATTGTAAACAATCAATCGATCGATCGATCGATAAAATGAGTAGTGGTTAAAGGAGAAGTAATGAAAATATTTGAATCACAGCAGAATTGCCAACCTTTTTGCAAAAAAAAAGAAGGAAAAAAGAAGGAAAAAGAAGGGAAAAACCACGTGACCGGAAGCACTCTCTCTCATTTTGCAATTTTATAAATATAAAAATTTTAAGGCAATAAAAATCCGGCAAAAGTTAAAATGAAAATTAAATTGAAACTAATATGGAGTCGCGGGGAAGAATTAAATAAAGTCGAAGCTTCCGGCCAATGAGCGACGCTGCTGCTTTTAACTGTCGTTTCCGTCGTGCCCTTTTGCATTTCCGGACATGGTAATTTTTCAATGGGAATGTCTAATATTTTCTGTCTCGGAGGTCTACCGGATTGATTATTATCGTATTCCGTGGATGCTATATCTTCTTCGTATTCAACTTCTTCGTCGTCGAATTGAAGAGAATTCGGATCTACCTTATACGATTCATCATCTTGTGGTTTTTCCGTTTCCGATGGTATCGGACTACCTTCCAATTCGACGTCATCACCCGTTATGCAGGTGAGTTCTTCGAGCGATAATTTCAATTCCATATTTTCCGTTTCGTTTCGTAAATTGTGAATCCAAGACAAATGACAATTACATATGAGTCGGTTTTCTAAAAAAACAAAAAAGAGGTCAAATTAAAATGTATTTCCGGTAGAATAAAAAAAAAAAATTTAGCGAACCGTTAACAAATTAATTGTTTAACAAATTTTTATTCTTCTCAATTATTAATTTCGAAAAAAGAAAAAAAAAAAAAAAAACGTTTATTTAATCATTAAAAATGTTGAAAATTTTTTTTTTTTTTTCTGCGTAGTGTGGAAAGTAAAATATTTAAACTTTCGTTTTTGTTTTTCCAGTTAAAAGTTAAAAACCCAAAGTTTTAATCTACTACACGACTCCGTATCAAAAAGAAACTAAAATAAATTTTTAAAAAGATGGAGGAAGGAAAAAAAAAATGTAATTTTTTTTTTGTTCTGCTGTGTTGTTTGAAAGTTTCTCCTGATGGAAAACAGAATCATTAACAGGAACACATTTTTTTTCAAATAGGAAATTAAATATTGTTTAAGAGGTAAATTCTTTTTTTTTTTTTTATTTATTTACATATGTTTTTTTTACTCGTGTTTGTTTTTATATCACGTGTTGCTTTCTCGATTATCGAAACTTTTAATTTGGCAAAGAGAGAACGAGAGAGTGAGAGTGAGAGTGAGAAACTGGAAGAAAACGAAACAAAAGGAAAGAGAGAGAGAGAGCAGAAGAAGGAAAGGGAAAGAGAGAGAGAGAGCAGAAGAAGGAAAGGGAAAGAGAGAGAAAGAGAATGAGAGGGAAAGAAGAAAACAGATTGAGAGAAACAGAGAGAGAGAGAGAGAATAAAATGAAAGGGAAAGAGAAGGAAAGAAAGAGAGAGAGAGAGAGAAAAAGAAAGAAAAAAAGAGAGAGAGAAGGGGTGAAAGAAAAACACAGAGAGAGAGAAAGAGACAAAAAAAAGAGAGAGAAAATGAATGAGAAAAAAAGAAGGAAGGTGAAAGAAAGGTAGAGAGAGACGAAAAAGAATGAGAAAATGAGAGAGAGAGAGACGAAAAAGAATGAGAAAATGAGAGAGAGAGAGAGAGAAAAGAAAGAGAAAAAAAGATAGAGAGAGAGACCGTGAAAGAGAAAAACAGAGACAGAGAGAGAGAGGGAGAAAGAAAGAGAAACTGAAACTGAGAGATAGAGAGAAAGATAAAAAGGGAATAAAAGAAAGAGAGAGAGGGAGAGGGAAAAAAAATAAATTAAACCACCTGTGGTTGGAAAAATTAATAATAATAATAATAATTTAAAGGCCTCGTTATAAATCAGCTGATTCCAATAACAAAGCCTTAAAAACATAAACAAAAACAAAAACGTCCCGAAATTAAAATATATTAAAAAAAATTAACCGGAAGTAGAAAAAAATTTATTATTATTATTATTATTATTATTATTATTATTATTATTATTATTTTGACTAAAAAAAAAAAAACATATAAACATCGATAAGTGATATACATATATACATATATATATGTATATTTTGACGTTGATAAAAAAAAACGTAAAAAAAACATTACGTAATTTAAAATTAAATCTTTAATTTTATCAAAATAACATTAGGTTACTCCCCCACCCCCGTCCCCACCCTCGCCCCCCCAAAAAAAAATCAAACTTATGAATTTATAATGAATAAGTTTTTTTTTTCTTTTTTTTTTTATTTGTAAAATATCGTGACTGAAATAAATTTTTTTTTTTTTTTTGTTTTTATCGTGGGGTTAGAAATCATTATCAATAAACAAGCCACGTGCGTTACGGAAAATACAAAAAGAAGCCCTTGAACTTCACATGTAATATTATTTTTCCAAACGATAATTTTACCTTTTTTTTTTTTTGAGGTCAATAAACTCTAATTTTTTTTTTTTTTATTCTCCCCATGAATAATATAATACCCCGTAAAAGTTCTTTTTTTTTTCCAGAAAAAAAAAGAAAGAATTTCTTATTAAATAGTTTTTGTTACGATGACGAGAGAGTATTAAATTACTTTTCATTCCGACATTAAAGTTTATATTAAAATTAATACCATTTTCTCATGGCATTCACGTTTTCATAAAAAAAAAAAAGTTTAGGTTTCTTTAACAAAAAAAACAATATATTTTTACAATACGTAATCGTAATCTCACACACGTCATATTTTGTTTACAAACAATAAGTTTCGTCTGCTATTAAAATCATAATCACGATTTAAAACTTGAAAAAAAATTTCCCTTATCAAACTTTTCACCCCCCCCCCCAAAACCCCCCATGCCTGCCATTTTTTTCCCTAAAAAACCTTTTCTTCCCCCTCCCCCCCCTCTCTCTCTCTCTCTCTTTCTTTTTTCACCGTTATAATTAAATTAAAAAAAAAAAAAAGAAAGAAAGAAAATTCAAACAATGAAAAATCAATCGGTTGTAAGAAATTTATATATATTTCCCCAAACAAACAAAAAAAAATGAGATGCAGCATCACCATCAGGAACATTCTTTTCTTTTTCCTTTTTCTATTCCTTTTTCTTTTTCCTTTTTCTTTTTCCTTTTTCTTTTTTAAATCGTGAATAGAAAACGATTAGAAATTTCCCCTAAATAAATTTCAAACGGAAGACAATCGTGTTTTTTTATACCCCGCCATAGAGTGAATGAATGAATGAATGAATGAATGGAACACCCGTCGTGTTAAAAACGTAGTAAATAATAATAATAATGATGATAATTTTCAAAGGGTTTTTTTTCACCCCCCCTCCCCCTTTCAAAAACAAACAAAAAATTATTACGACGTTTCTGCAAATTACGATTTTAATATTTACGATAATCACCATTTTATCGTAATCGTTTCACCCCCGCCCTCCCCCACGAAATGTGTGATTTTATTTAGGGGTAAATTTTTATTTTTCCCCCTTTCTCTTCTTTCCCTTTCTCTTCTCCTCCTTCCCTCCCACTTCCGTTTCGTCCGTTTAATTTTACAACAATTCGATGAGTATATTACGGTATCGGTTTTAACAAATTAAAATTATCGATTTATTGATTACGTAATGAAAAAAAAAAAAAATCGTGACGTATTATTATTATTATTATTATTATTTCGTTTGTTTCTATGTTGAGCTTACGTACGAGTCACACGTTAACGGTTATGGGGGGAGCGGGGGGTGGAAAAGTAGGAGAAAACGAAACGAAATTTGTATGATTTTGTAATTTTGATTTGTTTTTTTATTTATTTTTTTTTTGGTAAATTTGGTAACAACCCTCTCCCCTCCTCCTCCTCCTCTTTCTCCTCCCCTCAAAATAATTATTAATAATGATAATGATTTTTAACGGAATGGAATGGGATGGAGAAAGAGAAACTTTTTAAATGATTTTCGTTTCGTTTTTTTTTTTTTTAAAATTCGAACCATTTAATTATCGAACGATCGTTTCCCCCTCTCCCCCCCCTCTCTCTCTCTCTCTCTCGGTTGTGTGTATGCACAATAAATTTTTAAAAATGGAATATTAAAAAAATTTTTTTTTTTAAAAACTCTCATAAAAATGGAGTTTGTAAACATGACGCGTTTAATAAAAAAAAAAAAGGAATGCATTGCAATACGGAATATCAATTGGAAAGCAACACAACGAGAAAAAAAAATTTAAATTTTTAAAACGTTTTTTTTTTAAATTTAAATTATTTTATTAAAATTCGAACCGTTCGTACGACATCATCATCATCATCATCATCATCATCATCATTATTATTATTAGTGGTATCATGAGAATTAAAAAAAAATTAAACGGTTATCAAACGAATAAATCTCAATTGGTTGATTAATTAATTAATTACACAAAGTATAATCTGCGTGGTAGGATTTGTTATAATTTTATCAATTGTGAACAAACCGAGGGATAAAATAAATAAAATCAATCGATCGATCGATCAATCAATCAATCAATGAATCACCACGAATCGCGACGGTTAACCTTTTTTTTTATTTGTTTGTACGTTTGACAGGAGGACGATAAGTTTTACTCCTAATCGATGGTGATGATGGAAAACAATGATTTTCACAAATCATTGTCTTCCAACACTACAATGACGTCATATTAACGGGTTTTAAATTAATTAAAAATCAATTAATTATTATTATTATTATTATTAACGATTAACCGAAAAATGTCCGACGGCAAATAAAAATATAATTATTTATTCGTTCATTCATTTCAATTCATTTTTTTTTTTTTTTTTTTTATTGTGAAAAAAAGTGTTAGAGTCATTATTATTATTATTATAATTGATCGATTGTTGATGGTTGTTTTATATTAATAATAATAATAATAATAATAATAATTGATTTGACGCTTCGTATGAATTATTTTACGAGGGCAAAAAAAAAAAAAAAAAAAAAACATTAACGTAAATTTTAAATTAATTTTTCAGGGTCTTAATTGAAAACCAGACATTATTATTATTATTATTATTATTAATTTAGGATCGAAAAAAATTTTTTTTTTTTTAATTTGTAAATTTTAAACTATGACACTTTCTGTCTCTCTCTCTCTCTCTCTCTCTCTCTCTCTCTCTCTCTCTGTTTTTTTTCTCTTTCTCTGTTTTTCTTTTTTTTTCTCTCTCTCTGCTTTCTTTTCACTCTCTTTCTCTCTTTCTGTTTTTCTCTTTCAGCCCCCCCTCTCTCTCTCTTTATTTATCTTTTATTTTCTTCCCTTGCTCTTTCTTTTCTCTCTCTCTTTCTGTTACTTTTTCAGTCTTTCTCTTTCATTCTCTCTCATTTTCTCATTATTTTTCATCTCTCTCTACCTTTCTTTCACTCTCTTTCTTTTTTCCTCTTTCATTTTCTCTCCCTTTTTCTTTGTCTCTTTGTCTCTCCATATTTTCCTTTCACCCTTTATCTTTTCTCTCTCTCTGCGTTTTTCTTTCTCTCTCTTTCTCATTATTTTTCCTCTCCTTCTACCTCACTTTCACTCTCTCTCTTTTTCATTTCCTCTCTCTTTCTTTTTCACTCTCTCTATCTCTCACTGTCTCTCTTTCATTTTCTCTCCCTTTCTCATTTATCAATGAATGATTTACGCTTTCAATCGAACATTAATGGAAAAACATTTTTTCCCTCCCCCTCTTTTTGTTTGTTCTTTATTACATAAACTTATAAACTACCGGATTGTAATTCTCACTTTTATTGACAATGTCAAACGAAAAAAAAAAAAAAGAAAAGAAATTCTAAAGATAAATATTATTAATAATAATAATAATAATAAACGGCAATTATTAATGGGGATATCATTTGTTTTGAATAATAATAATAATGATGATGATGATGATGATGTACGCGCTGGAATTGACGCGTTGGAATAATAAAGTTTGATGTGATGAAGTGCGTGCAATAATAATAATAATAAGTAAACCTCAATGAAACAATTTTTAGAAAAAATGACCTTGTCTTCGTGTATAAGAAAAAGAACTGTGCGTGCGTGCATGTGTATGTGAATGTGTGTGCGTGTGCGTAACATTTTAGGCGGTTGCTTGTGTTGCACATCCGGTTCAAGTCTTTGACAATATTTGTTTAGTTTTACAAGTTGACAGATACCGGATGTCGAACGAATTCGATGTTTTTTTTTAATTCACTTTTTCATTGTTTTCTCATTATTATTATCATTATCATCATCATAGTTATTATTATTACTATTATTATTATTATTATTATTATTATTATTATTATTATTATTATTCTAATTTTTTTTTTACTTTTTTTTTTGAAATGATTTTAGAATTACAAAAAAAAAACAAAGTCATGTTAGTTTATTTATTAAACTTTTGAATTTTTACTGTTGAAAAAATAAATTAGTTAAAACGTCAGTGTGTGTGTATGTGAGAGAGAGAGAGAGAGAGAGAGAGAGAGAGAGAGAGAGAGAGAGAGAGAGATAGAGAGAGAAATTTTTTTTAAATCGAGATTTCGATATATCGTAATCCAAAAAATTTTTTTTTTAAGTAAAAAAAAAAAACGCTGAAATTTATTTAAATTTTAAATTTAATTTTATCAAATTTTTCTTTTTTTTTTTTAGGGAAATTTTCTCTCGTTTCCGAATCGAATTTTCCGGAGAAAAAAAAAACAGGAAAGAAAAAAAGGAAAAAAAGGATAAATAAAAAACGAAAAATCGACGTGGGAAAATAGTAAAAAATATTCAAATTAAAAGGTAATAATTGATAAGTACATTTTTCTTTTCTCTCTCTCTCTCTCTCTCAAAATTTCACTTTTTCGGTTCTTTTTAATAATAATAATAATAATAATAATAATAATAATAATAATAATAATAATTCATGGATTTCCAGCCACCCTTCCGTTCCAGAAAAAAAAAAAATTTAGTTTTTTTTTTTTTTGGGCGTTAAACAAACAATAAAAAATTCATGACTTTTATTATTATTATTATTATTATTATTACTTTCATTCGTGGTTTTAATTTTTTAATCGATTTCGTTTTAATTTTATTTCCGTTTGAAAAAAGAAAAAAAAAAATTTATTTTCGCGTTTTCGTATGACGTCACACTTTAAAAAAAAACGTTTTTTTTTTTCGAATGCACATTGCATCGTAATAATAATAATGATAATAATAAACCGATGTATATGTATGGAGTCATGCCAAAGTTTATAAAAACGAAGAGGGAAGGGGAGGGAACGGGAGGGAAGGAAAAAAAATGATTTACGAGGGCAAAGTTAATGAATCGATTGGGCACGTGTTTAATAATTAACAATTTAATAATTATCATCATCATCATTGTTTCACGTGTAAATATAATTTTTAATGCCACGACGGTTTTCGTTTTTAATTGAGCGCAAATAATAATAATAATAATAATAATAATAATAAATTAATTCGCTTTTTATTATATGTGCAATTAGTTAATTGAAATTATTATAACCGAAGTGAGGGTGGGGGTGGAGAGTGGGGAGGGGTTTAAATTAACGAAAGTTTTTTTTTTTTAACCGGAATCATATAATTCGTTATTCGTGTGCAAATATCAAAGGAAAAAAAAAAGGAAAAAAAAATGTCTAATCTATCACGATTATTTAAATTAGGTCGAAATAGTTAAAAAAAAAAAAAAAAAAAACGGTTCGAAAACTCCCTATAAACTCCTCCCTTTTTTTTTGTTTTATAATGGTAATTTTTTTTTTTATTTACACGCACGCACGCACGCACACGTGGGGGGAGGGAAATAACGGGATTCGTTACGTCAAAAAATTTTCCTTTGTTCAATTAAAATTAATTTAACACGTGAAAACTAAAAAAAAACGAAAAAAAAAATACTAATCAGGTCAAAATTATTGAAAAATTATTATTATTATTATTATTTTGTGAGTTAGTTAGTGAGTGAGTGAGTGAATGAGTGCGTGGCTTACGAAAATGAAAAAAACGTGGGAGTAGAAGAAGAAGAAATTTATAAATAGTTAAAAATTAAATAATTATTGTTAACTTACTTTGTAACCATATGTGGGCGGTGTAATTTTTAAGATTGTCCCAAATCGGTTTCAACGTGTTGGACGTTATCGTTTCCAAACCGTTCATACGCAAATCGAGTAGGAAAACGTTCGGGGATTCTTTAAATATGTCACCGTCTAAATTTTTCAATTTGTTTTCGCTTATCCGTAATTTGGTTAATTTTTTCAAACCGGAAAATCCGTAGTCCGATATGTACTCTATGTTGTTTTGATCGAGTATGAGTTCGTACAGGTTGACGAGCGCGGCGAACGTGTGATCACCGATCATGGTCAATTTATTCTTTCTCAAATCCAAATACCTGAGAGATTTCAAACCGGCAAATGTTTCTTTCGTCACGACGGAAATTTGATTCGTGTTCAATTCGAGTTCTTCCAAACGATGCAAATGACCGAACGCGTAGTCGTGTATTATAGACAAATTGTTACGATTTATGTAGAGCATTTTCAAATTGGGTACGTCTCGTATGCATTCCCGTTGCAATTCTCCGATTTTGTTACCGTCCAAATTAACGCTCGTCACGCTCGGAAGATTCGCTATGGAAGACGGTTGAAGGTTGGATATTTGATTTTGAGGTATCGATATTTCCGTTATGGAGGACAAGTTTGAAAATACGTAGGGCGGAAGTTCCGTTATCAAACCGTATTGGATTTCGATGGATTGAAGATTGTTCAAGTGTTTCAATGCTTTCGTGGGTATGTTCAATAGCGTTCCGTCGGGTCGTATGTTAAATTTTAATTTTTCCATGTTGGGCTGCGACGCGAATTCGTCCCAAATATCATCGTCCCCGGTTATTTTACTCCTGTAAACCCAACAAACGGCTTCTTTCGCCATGTTTATTTCCGTCGGAGTGCAAAAACATAGAATCGCACGCTCTTGATTATCCGAATCGCAAACGTTGTGGGAAGAAGTGACGTCAAATTTTTCTTCTTCTTTTTTCTTACCCGCCTTCTTTTTGCAATTTATCGAATAAACCAAAAGGGAAAGAATTACCAATGTTATTAAATTCTTCATTATTTATTTATTTATTATTCGATTCTTCTTCGTTTGTTATCGAGTACGGATGTGTATGTATAAATATATATCGATGAGGAAGTCTGAAAAGAAAAAGAAAAGTTTGAGTAATAAAAATGTCATATTTATTTATATATATATATGATGATGATGATGATTATTTGAATCGATTTAAAATTTACATTCCGTTTAAGACAATAACTACTGTAAAATTACGTTACGTGTGTGTTTGTACGTTTGTACGTTTGTATTATCGATCGTGATTTTAAACAAACAAACAACATGATAACATGTAATTATTTATTACATGTCACTAGGTTTGTCGATGATGATGATGATGATGATGATGATGATGAGGAAAAATAAAATAAAATAATTTTTTTTTTTTTTTTTTTTTTTTTTTTTTTTACTTTGGCTAAAAGCCACGTTATGCAACTGACGACTTTGGTATTTTCCCTTGAATTTCTTTTTTCTTTTTGTAATAATAATAATAATGATGATGATTTCGTTTTATTAGTTTTGCAATTTTATTACGTTCGTAATAAATTATTATTAATAATAAAAAATTGCATTTAGTTGTCAGGCGTTTAAAGAATTTGTTCGTTCGATCGATCGATCGATATAAATATATCGATCGGACGCCAAATTCGCAGACGTTTTAATTCTCTCTCTCTCCCTGTAATAATAATAATAATAATGGTGTTTTTTTTTTTTTTTTTTAATTTATTAATTCGTAAAATGATTCGATCGTAAAAAAAAAAAAGCTTTTATTATTATTATTATTATTACTTGGATTCGAATACCTTAAATTTTTTAAATGATAACCCTTAAGATTCAAAGGTTATCTTTTGTGGTTGTTGTTGTTGTTGTTGTTGTTTAGAGTGAGTACCTGAGAGAAAAAAAATAAGTTTACTTATTAAATTTCATTATTCCCCCGTTTTTTTTTTTTTTTTTTTTTTTTTATTGAAAGGAAATCGTTTTTGGTTTTCATACATAATCGTTGCGTATGAATGCATATAATTATTATCAATTCTTGTAAATTCGAATCATCATCATCATCATCATTTACTATCACTAACTACGTTAAATGACTATAAAAACAAAATTATTATTATTATTATTATTATTAATGTTACGCGAAAATAATTCGAACCGTTAAAAACAAAACAAAGGATAAAAAATATTACGTTACGTGGTTTTTTTTTTTTTTTTTTTTAAATTGACGGATCAATGAGTAAGAATATTATATTATTTTAATATCCGAATTTGAGAACTTGAAATTTATATAGTATAAACGCGTCGTCGTCGTCGTCGTCGTCGTGGTTGTTGTGTTTGTTGTTGTTGTTTAAAAATATTAAATTCGATATAATATTATATAACAATAATTTCGGTAATTAAAAAAAAAAAAAAAAAAAAAACGAGTAAATTTTTTTGATGATGAATTCAAGTACGTTGAAATTGACGAATAGATGAATCTATAATTAATTAATAGAATTAAGGGAGGGGTTTTTAATAATAATAATAATAATTAATAATAGACTATAATTATTCTTACGTCGGGTTGCGTTATTAAAAATTAAAGTTTTAATAAAAAAAAAAAAATGTAATTTAAAGAGTCATTCGTATATATCTCTCTCTCTTTCTCTCTTTCTAGGTACTCTCTTTCTCTCTCTCTTTCTAGGTACTCTTTTTCTCTCTCTCTCTCTCTCTCTCTTTCTAGGTACTCTTTTTCTCTCTCTCTCTCTCTCTCTTTCTAGGTGCACTTTTTCTCTCTCTCTCTCTCTTTCTGGGTACTCTTTCTCTCTCTCTCTCTCTTTCTAGGTGCTCTTTTTCTCTCTCTCTCTCTTTCTGGGTGCTCTTTTTCTCTCTCTCTCTCTTTCTGGGTACTCTTTCTCTCTCTTTCTCTCTCTCTTTCTGGGTACTCTTTCTCTCTCTCTCTCTCTTTCTGGGTACTCTCTCTCTCTCTCTTTCTGGGTACTCTTTCTCTCTCTCTCTCTCTTTCTGGGTACTCTCTCTCTCTCTCTTTCTGGGTACTCTTTCTCTCTCTCTCTCTCTCTCTTTTGATTTTTTTACTCTTTTGATACTGTCTATTTCTGTCTCTCTAGATACTCTCTTTTCTCTCTCACTCATTCTGTTATTTTATGTCTCTCTCTCTCTCTCTCTTTCTCTCTAGGTACTCTCTTTTTCTAATTCTCTCTCTTTCTGTTGACTTTATGTCTCTCTCTCTCTCTCTCTTGAATCCTTCTCCTTTTTCTTTCTCTAGGTACTCTTTTTTTGTCTTTCACTCTGTTGATTCTATGTCTCTCTCTCTCTCTCTCTCTTGTCTCTTTGTCTCTCTTTTGATTCTCTTTCCTTTCTCTTTCTTTTAGTATGTAAATATTTTGTCAAAGGTAATAATGACGGGGTAATAAAAAAAAAAAAAATGGAAAGTTTGTCATAAGGTATAATAATTTAAATTACTTAGTTTAATACTAGGAGACATATTGAAAAGTTTGCTGCAATTTAACAACTTTTTTTTTTTTTTTTTTTTTCTTATTTTTATTTTTATTTTATTTTATTGTTCTTTTATCATCATCATCATCATCATCATTATTATTATTCATTAAAAAGAATGGGGAAGTCATGTCGGCTATTAAAATTTATTACTAAAAACTTGAAGATGTGAAAAAAAAAAAAAAAAAAAAAAAAAAACTACGGAACGTCATTTGGTTTGACCTAATTTTTTTTTTTTTTTTTTCTCTTAAAATAAATTTAACTCTTAAAAAAGTATTATGTAATCGTTGCATTTGAAAAAAAAATATTTTCGGATTACTACTACTAATGACACGACGGAATAGCATTTTTGTGTGCGTTTTTTTTTAAAAAAAAAATTCGACTTGAATTTATTATTTGGCTTTTGAATATGCTTTCGGCATCATTTCCCCTCCCCCTCTCCCCCCGTCTCTCTCTCTTTCTCACTCTCTCACTCTCTCTAATGTATTTTTAGTCATTTCGATACGTTGATTGATTCATTTCACTTTCAGAAACGGAGAAAAATATTCGAGAGAGTGCGAAATATCGCATTCATCATTTTCATTCAAAAGTTTTAATTTAATAATAAGGAAACGACGATTACTTCATTTTCCTCTAAAGAGAGAGAGAGAGAGAGAGAGAGAAATTTTTCGTGAATCATCTTGAAAAAAAAAAGGAATTTCCCTATAAAAAAAAACGGGATGAACGGGAGAGAACTACGGGATGAGAATTAAAATAAAATATCGGGAAAAAATAATTTAATTTTTATTTAATTTCAGGTATTTTCATCATCATTATTATTATTCCTCTTCCATCTTCGAAATTGAACAAATAGTTGTTTACACAAATTTCAACGGAAATATTTTTACCTAAAAGAGAGTTTAAAGTGGTGATGATAATAATAATAATTATTTAACCGACGGTAGCAACGAACAATAATCCGGTAAGTGAATATTATACTTAAGATCTTATCATTATCATCATTATCATCGTAATCGATATAAGTAAAAAGTTTTTTTAAAAACAAAATGTGCGCGCCATTATGGGGTTTTAGGCGTTTCCCTTCTGCTTTTTTTTTTTTTTTAAATGAAATTTGTTTATTTCTCAGACATGACTAGAAAAAAAAAAAAAAATTTAATTGGTGAATGATGATTGCGAGCGAATGGCCTCTCGACAATAAAATTAAATACATAAGAAACAAATGGAATATTATTATTATTATTATTATTAAACGTCGTGAAACATGACTTCATCGATTTAAGAATAAATGCAAGGCAAGGCACTAGAGAGAGAGAGAGAGAGAAAGAGAAAGGGAGACACTAACTAACTTTCTAATTAATATTAATAATAATGCACTTGTTTAAACTAAATTAATTAAAGCTATTTATTTTTTTTAAAAAAAAAAAGAATACAAAAATGCGCGCAAATTGCCTTCGGGGTCATTTTTTTTTTTCATAAAAAAAAAAAAAAATATCGTCTGCAACAGTATAAAACAAAAAAAAGTCTTCTGCTTTTTTTTTTTTGATTGAATCGTTTGGTCGTTGATTTAAACTTTATGTTGTTAAATAGTTTAATTTTTGTTCTTTCATAGAGTTTGCAAAAGTTTGTGTTACTGTCTCTCTCTCTCTCCCCCTCTCTCTATCTATCTATCCGTCTCTTTCTCTCTCTCTATCTATCTATCTATCTATCCATCTCTTTCTCTCTCTCTATCTATCTATCTATCCATCTCTTTCTCTCTCTCTCTCTCTCGATTCTTTGGATTGCATCGAGTAACCGAACTATTATAAATTTTTTTTTTTTAACGACTCCATATAATTCAGACACAATACGATCATAATAATTTAAATATGGAGAGTGAGAGAGAGAGAAAATGACAGAGAAAGAGCGAGAGAGAGAGAGAACGAGAGAAAGCGTGACAGAGAGAGAGAGAAAAATGTCAGAATAATTGTGTGATGGGGTCGGTTTTTAAGTTGAAGACTTTATTATAACTTTACACAAGTTCAATTAATCATGAAAATTCCACATACAATAATAATAATAATAATAATAATAATGAAACAAATGTGTGTATGACGTCACACTTTACGAAAACCAATAAATATCCGTGAATTGAATGAATGCACTCGTAGGAAACCCCTCGTCGAATGATTAAGAGAGAGAGAGAGGGGGAAGGGAAGAGGGAAGTCACATCTCGTTGTCAATCATCATTCACTCGATAGATTCATGTAAATAGTTTCCCCCCCCCCCCGATAGAAATTTATTATTATTATTATTATTATTTAACGGTTGACAAACGTTATCGTAATAAA